ATACATCTGACTGTGAGATGGGACCCATGTTACTTCTTGATCCACAGGCAAGACAGTAAATAGAAGCCAGGTGACCAATGTTAAATTACTCCACGTAGAGTCTTCTGGAGCTCAGTTTAAAGGGGAGTGAGGAGTTACCAGTCAGCAACATTAAAACTTTGCTTCCAGATTTTCTTTCTTAGGTACATTAAAAAAACTAATGTGTAGAAATGTGAATGTGAAACTTGGGTAGAAGTTTCCTAAAGTCAGTGTACTGGAGTATCAGCAGATGGAGAACAGAACTCAGCTGCTGATATATGCCTGCTGAGAACTCAACCTGTTTTTCGTTTGTCACTGTTTTGCTTTATAAATCTAAATCGAGGCTTTTCTTGTTTTTGCTTCCTTGATTTCACTTGTTACCTTGGCACTGCAGATTACACGATAGTACATCTTTCATAAAGCACCTTGAGATGTCTCAGCCTGATAAAAGTGCTAATTAAATGGAGCTTGTTGTTGAAGTAGGAGAGGGAGTAAGAGTTCAGGGCTCCCTAGTTTATACACTGGTTTAGTTGATGACTTTAGTGGAACTAAACAGGAAAGCTTCAACCACTTATGAAATCACAGAACTTCTGCTACCTCACATTAGATAGCTCTCAGAACCTTATTGATTCAGTTTGGATGTGTACTCAAATGCCAGGGAGGGTTCTTAGGTAAGATCTCTCGAGTCTCTTGTAGCAGTTCCAAGGTCTCGGGGATGTAGCTTGTTCTTCCTGCCGTCATCACAGTGACAACTTTCACCTAAATTGTCCTCACCTTAACTCTTCTCTTTTGTAGCTGCACTGTATGTTTTATGCTGCTGTTAGGACTCTTCATAATAAAAAGGGGTTTGTGATTGGCTGTTATTGGGTCCAGCTGAACGGTCCAAGGCAGGTATTCATTCCACAAATTTATTCATATCTCTAAATCTCCTAACAGTTCCTGGAATCATATTTCACATTTGGCCTGTACATTTTCCTTTACATAACGATTTAAGGTCGCTCAGAATGCGTCACTAAATGTCATGCTCCTCACATTGTCATTGCAATTGAAAAGGTGTTATTTGTTCTGAAAGCTGGAAGGAGGAGACACAGCCACTTCTGTTTACCTGGTGCTTTGTAAGCAAAGCCTTGCCCTTGGGATAGTCAGTGTAGTGCCTTTAGATCAAGATGAAGATCACAACTGAGTAGGTAGTAAGAGGATCAGGTAAACACCCTAAACTCTGAAGGCTCTCTGTTGAAGGCCTTACGTGATTTAAAACTTAATGGGTTTGTTAAAATGGGGTGTACAGCTTAATGCAAAAGTAGGCAGAGTAAATATTTGGTTCTGTATCTCAGTAGTATTGGGAGCCCCACATTTGACTGAACTATCTCTCCTACACAAAAAAGACCAGAAAAGGTGAGGCAGCCCATTTCTGTGCTTAGATCTGAAGCTGGAACTAGGAGACATGGAGGGAGAAGTCAGAAGTCAGAGAGACAAACCAGACCAGACATGAAGGGTCAGGACAGGGTCCTGGTGGATCACAGTTCTCTCAACCTCTCCTGGAATGAAAGGTCCTTCAGAAATACTGCTTCCTCTAGTCTATCTTGCTTCTTTCCCTTGGTTATGCATCACAGAGGTGGTAGTAACTGTGGCCTCAATGCCTGGGCAAAGGTGACTTCACTTGCTGCAGCCTCTTAGCTGGAGAAATGGTTTGACCATTTGTAAATACATCTTTAGTGATGTTGGCTGAGAAGGGCCTTTTCCTTTTATATGTGTCATCTAAGAACTAAGGTGTTTTATTCTGGCATGTTAGAAAGAACCATGTAAGTGGTAGGTTGAAATGACACAGTCACAGTGTGTCATGTTGAAATCCAGCGACAAAAATCAAATGGAAATTTGGGAATTCACTTTGTTTTTTTGCCACTGTTACTGGAATTAGGGTCTTGCTTTAGTATTTTCCCTGCTTCCTGCAGGATCTGCATGTTTCCATCATCTTGCCTTCATAGTGACGGATATTGTGTTTGCAGAAAGAAAAAACCCAGCACATTATGGTGAGAGGTACAATCTTTTTCCTCAGCACTGTTTCCAGGACCTGAAATCTCAGAGATACAGGGGCCCAGAGCTGTTACATGAGGACAGGATCGATTCAGTCAATCAGAGGGAAAACCTACTGTCAGACTCTCAGACCTTTAACCTGCTCCTCAGAATTATTAGAACTCCCAAATCTCTTTGCAGGCCTTTTCTATTAGACAGATATTCCCATGTTTTGATTTTTTTGCTCCAGAAGTAATTTTTTTTATAATTACCTTCATTGAACTGCACTTACCATCTGTGAAGTGAGAGGCACTTCAATGATTTATTAGCCCGAGTTCCTAAAATGTGCTGAACAGCATGGGATTGATCTGGCTAGTGACAAATACAGGATACATGACAATGGATAGGTGGCCAGTGTTTGATGGAGCATCGTGCTGCTCTGGTGGGGGCTTGCTCTGCGGGTGGATGTTGGCTTTCTTCCAGTTGTACAGGAGATCAATGGAAGGCAGGTGCACCTTGGCTCAGGAATACAAAGAAAGACCCAAAAGCACAGTTCTCCCCTTGAAAAAAGTCCTCCTGTTTCTGAAATAACTCATAACTCCCCCTAGAAGGCTCTAAGAAGCTTTTTGGCAGCAAAGAAAACCTTTCTAGAGTCCAGAAGTTAATTCAGATTCTCTCTGGTCTGTGCACTGATTGAAATCCTGAAGGCTGGTTTTGGTCCTCACTTTGTTTCTTCTCTTGCAAGTAGTATCCATGATATGCAAGATGCTTTTCACAGTCTTTCCTCAGCCCTGTATAGCGTAGTTAATGTTCAGTGGGGTTCAGCAGAGGAACAGGATGGAGCAGAAAGCTGAGCTGTGTGCCTCCAGATATGAACATAACTGGAAGGCAGAGAAGGGCTGTAGGTGTAAGTACTACCTAAAGAGGGGAACACAGTTCCTAGCTAAGCAGGAGATGGGAAGGAGGAGCATGTGTCTTTCATGCAAGTAAAATCCTGTCTCCGGGAATAGGCAGGGGCTTCTGACTTGTATCTCCAGTTGCATTCTCATCTGAGCAGAGGCTGTGAGACCCTACTACTCACAGAACATCGTTTTGCTTCCCCACATACCAGACACTCACAACTTCTGCTGACCTTAGAACTCAGTTGGAGCTGAGATGAAGCAGCTCCAGCCCTTCACAGCTATGAGATGCCACTAAACAGCTGATCTTTTCTGTGCCCCAAGCACTCCCCTGCAGCCTTGGCTGTACAGACCACATGGCTGGTGCCCTGCCTGGCAGGGGGGGCACTGGCATAGGGTGGGCATGGAGCAAAATCAGGCAGCAAATGAACCAAGCAGGGACTGAGAGGGAAAGGAGGTGTGAGATGTTGGTGGGCTGCATGGAGAAGATAGGGTTGGTAGGGAGTTCTCCCTGTGTCTTGGGCTCAGCTTTACATTTGCAAGATGGTTATGGCCTGGAGGAAAGCCCTGCCATCGGGAAGTTATGGAGTATGTAGAGTCTGATCTGAGCTCCTGAAACTGCTGGGATTCAGCTGTCATTCAGAGCTGCACAAACTACCATAGCTGTTACTGTGTTTGCACTTAGAGATGACCTTGAGCTAAGTTTTGGAATCAGAACATTCATGTCTACCTAGATACAAGATGTTCCTCCGTCTTGTAGCTGTGTTTGTTCTTAGCAGCCCAGTTGTGCCATTTTTACTTGAATCAATACCTGCTTCACCTGCCAGACCACAGATGTTGATGAATTTGTTCCTCCACTTTTTCCATAGATCTCTCTTCTAAAGGAAGGGTTCTTTTGTCTGGCACTACCTGCACTGTAGCTGCTTCTCCTCTATTATTTTTCTGTCTCATGCCCAGATTTCAAGGCACGCACAATGAGGCATCAGTGAAATCAAATCAGACCTACAGTGTGAACTACCCTGAACCTGGAGTTGGTTCCAGCTCAGCACCACGTTTACAAGGGGCAGGAGAGATCAGACTTGGTTACCTTAAGGAAGCACACACAGAGTACTGGGAAAGGAAAACCTCAGGTTAATGTTTCTCTTTACTGGCATGTGCCCTAATGAGCGGCATGTGGCCAAATGGAGTGGTGAGAAGCAGAGACAGATGGCAACATACAATCTGGAATGAACACAGGGTTTTACACCCAGTCAGAGATGCAAAACTAGAGCCCTGAATACTCATGATTCTTCTGGTGTGGTAGATGTTGTCTGATTCATTATCCAAGTATCAAGATTTAGGCTGGCTTCTAGTTTAACAATTAATTTTGGCTTCCTCTTTATTTTGGATCTGGCCTTCTTCCATAAAATGCTGCTCTTTCTGACCTCCAAATTAATGAGTAGGACCATTCATAAAATCACAGAATCTCAGACTGGTTTGGGTTGAAGGGACTTAAAGCTCATCCAGCTCCAACCCCCTGCCACAGGCAGGACCCCTTCCACTGGAGCAGCTTGCTCCAAGCCCCTGTGTCCAACCTGGCCTTGAACACTGCCAGGGATGGGGCAGCCACAGCTTCTCTGGGCACCCTGTGCCAGCGCCTCAGCACCCTCACAGGGAAGAGCTTCTGCCTAAGAGCTCATCTCAGTCTCCCCTCTGGCAGGTTCAAGCCATTCCCCTTGGCCTGGCCCTGCAGGCCCTTGTTCAAAGCCACTCCTCAGGTTTCTTGTAGCCCCTTTAAGCACTGGAGCTGCTCTAAGGTCTCCCCTTCAGGAGCCTTCTCTTCTCCAGGCTGACCCACCCCAGCTCTCTCAGCCTGGCTCCCCAGAAATGATTCTCCAGCCCCCTCATTCTCTTTGTGGCCTCCTCTGGATTTGCTTCATTGTGGACAAGCAACCCAGAGAAGCCAAGTGGCGAAGAGGACAGATCTTTGCAGGTGGCAGCCGAGGCCATGGGACAGCAACATTACACTGCACTGAAAACTTTAAAGGGTCCTTCAGGCAAAAGTCATATCTTGACCCTTTCATTTCACAGATCCTCCCTGGCTCCTTCTGGGCCTACAGCCTGGGCTACAAAGCCAGTGTACCAGTGTATACGTGTTTGCTGGAGGAACTGTTACTGGGCAACGGTATCCTGAGTGACACAACACATCGCCATGCCTCACAGAATGTCGGGCACACCGCTTGCTGCAGCCAGGCCCTTCCTCCCACTGAGCTGTGTTGGCATCAAACTCAGGTGAGAGGTGCAGAAGGCTTCAACCCTTCCCCTGTGAGCATCCGTGCTCAGCAGGGCTGACTTGGCAGGCTGGCAGGAGGGTGAACTATGAGGCAGGAGAAGCTGCCAGTGTTGTTCAGAGTTCAATCCTGGTGCTTCTGTCCTCAGAGTCAGAGGGCTGGGGAGTTCAGGGGAGGAAAAAAATCAAGTAAGAAACGGCTAAAGGAAGAGAGCAAAATATTGTTAAAGCTCTGCACCATCAACCCATGAATCTGCAGGGCAGGGGCTGGTTTAAACTGGCTTTCGGAAACTGAGGATAGCTCACTTATGCTTAATAATTAAAGGAATGATCTGCTTTCCTACTCACTGCACTAAAGATGAGTGAGGTTTTATCTCTGCACTGCTAACAGTGCCAGTGACATGTTCATAATCCTGTAACACATTTCTCTGCACATACAGCAGGGAAGAGGGCTTGTGGCAACGGGCCAGAATCACTTAGATCATTTTACCAGGGGCACACCAGAGACCAGAGGACCCCATCAAGGAGATGCTTTTTCCAGTCCATAGCACGGCATGTTGTGACATCCCTCGCACTGTTGTGTCCCCCCCCATGTTACTTCAGATGACACAAAAAGTGATTGCTGTCTTTAGATATAAAACTCAGTTTGACTCCAGCCAGGGTCAAACTGCTGTCGGTATATTCAGATACATGTTTCAACTTAGTTTTGTCACCCTGTGAGTTGGAAAATTGCAGCTCTGGGTGAGGTGAAATCAGGATGATAAACTTTGTGACCAACTGAGTATGAAACAAAACCTGATTTGCTCAGATCCAGGTACTGTTGTTCTTTTTCTCCTCCTTAAAGTGCAATCCTGCTTCTCCAAGTTGGTTTTAAATAACTCAGTTTTGTGAAGCAGGAGGGCTTGAGGAATTTCAGAAATAATGCATGCAGAAGGCTGGCTTTTATACTGCTGGTGTCTGGGATCCTGCAGCTTCTGGTGGGATGTGGGGGGGGTGTGTACATGGGCTTTTTTTGTACTCACATGCATGCTCACACACCCGCTCTCTCTGTGAATTGATTATGTTACCCAAATACCTCCTAGGGTTCTCTCTTTCTGCGGCCCTGATACAGTTCGTTCTTGAAGTTACTCTAGGAATTGTACAACCCTGTGTCAAACACCCCCATACTGATAGAGGTACAGCTTGAAAGCTGGCGGGCATTAAAATGAAGTGGTGCTTAAGTAATTGTTAATGCAAAGTGGACCCAAATAATGGGACTGCTGGACAGAAGGGATGCAGAAACCAACAAAACCAAGTGGAAAAGCTCCTCAAAAGAGAAGAGTTTTTCTTGTCAGCATGAGGAGAGGTGTAAAGACAAGCCTGTGCAGAGGTGTGAACTTGTAGATTCTCAGTTTCCTATGTCAGTCACCATTTCAAGTATTGCTTCCTCATCTCCTGGGGCAGGATAGCTGCTGACTGATTGAACCTTACAATAATATATTGCCCCCTTGGTATGTTAACTTCTTACCTAGTGTATTGTTTCTGGTTTATGGGATTATTGTCTTTCCAAAACTGTCAGAGTCTCTTCTCCATCTGAAACACTATTGCATTTAGCCTTTGTTCTCCTGATAGCATAGGAGGCATGTTGTATTCAGCAGTGATAAACTATGCATGCTGAACATGGCCCAAATGGTAGTTAAAGGTGGCAGCTTCTCCCAGGGGAGGGACTGAGTGCACCAAGGCACAAACTCTGTTTTTGGGCCTTAACACTGCTGCCAGAACACTGCTGATGTATCTAGCATGGAATAAATATTGGCCATTGGGCATTTCTCCTGGAATGTCTTCTCATACATAGTGGAAATCACCCCATGTTTATCTGGTTTGTGCATAAATGGAACGGGTGGTACGTGGAGAGAAGCTCCCAGGTTGTCTTCTGTCCTGCAGGTTTCTGAAATAGGCATTTAGCTGATGTCCTCAGCTGATGAAGACATTCCAATTTTCTCAATCACTAAATTGCTGGCATTTGGTATCATTGTTTTGGTTCTTATAGTACTTTACACAACTGGCACCTACTCTGTTTTCTGTCCTGTCTGACTTGTTCTGTTCCATGCTGTCCCCTCTACATGAGGATATGTGATTTCCATGGCTTTGTCCTTCAAAAAGCATCAGCCAAAGCTGTTTGTGCCTCTGCACTTGTTTGCTTTCCTCTGCTCTCCAGTTTTGAAGCTGCTCACATTTTCAAGTGCCTTCGTGATTTTAAGTGCCAATAAGACTATTGTGCAATGAATTAGAGACATCTGTCCCTCTGGCTTGGGCCACCTCCCTTCCAGAAGTGTCCCCAGTTCCTGACCAATCTGCTCTTTCTACCATCTTCTCAACCAGGTATTAAACCTTGGCTTTCCTGTCTCTCTTTCCCATCCTGCATGGGATTACTGGCAGTGTTTTCAGAGAACATTCACTGTCTGCAGTTTCCTTCTCCAGAGCCTCAGTTTTGCTTCCAGAATCTCTTTCCTGCCCTTCTGTATATAATTTGTGCCAGAATGGACTGAGCTTTTTCCCCAGTACCTCCTGAAAGCCAATTCAGGCTCCTGGGAGATCTGCTGCCTTAGTCTTAGCAGTCATGTCACCAAGTACTCCTCCTTGGGATCCCAGCCTCACCTACCTATTTGTTGAGGGTAGGAATCAGTTTCAAGCCTGAATTTAGGTTTTACAGTGGTGCCTTACTATTGGCAGGAGGCTACTGTCTGAGTATGCAAAGAAATCAAGCTTCAGATGTGTGCTCTTGCTTGGTGTTCCCTGTTGCGCTGGCTCTTGTGTCTCCCCATCAAGTCCTTGCCAAGAGTGCACAGACACGGGCCCTTGCTCAGTATCCAGGCTCAAGCCTGGATAGCCCAATGCCCACCTCCCTTTCTTGACTGCTGGCCTGACTGATTTGGAACCAGAATCAAGATTTAGAAAAATTTCCTTACTGCTTTTGGCAGAAGGCATTAGGCTTAATGGGCCATCGACTGTATATTCTTGACTACTAGATGTCTGACAGCACCCTTGGAGCAGTAGCTCTTACTAGGTTGCTCTACGAGGAGAAACCTCTAGCAGATGGGCACAGGATCTCATGGACAGACTCCACCCTGCATGCTCTTGAGAAGTGTCACAACATCACATCATCGGCTCTGCATGGCTGATGCCTGACATCTCCCGTGTAGTATGATTTGCAGCTGAGCTGTGAACTGAGCATGTGAACGTATGCAAGGCAGCTCATGCATTCTGGTAGTGTTGGTTTGCTACCTGATTCAGTTGCTCAAGCATGTATGCTGTAGGTTGGGTATAGTACCTGGGCTCTATCTGGTTTAGAGTTTCTGACAATGTCCCACTGGGATGTATGGACTGTTAGCTTTTATAATGAGCTTATCTATAGTCAGACATATCTAAATCAGAAGATCCTTTTACCCTTGTCTCCAGTACGGAATTTATGGTCTTCTCTAGTTTGCAGTCACTTCAAGGTCTGCAGGATCCTCTGTTTTCAGTGACAAATAGATGCCACTGTGCAACTGTAGATTTTGACATCTTTTTTTTCTTCTTTAGCTGTATTCCATTCCCTTCCTCCAAGCAGCAGGCTATGTATAAAGTACCTGTTACAGTCCTACCAGACTCATTTGAATTCAGCACACCCCATTGTCCTGCTGAGTGTTCTATCAATGTGCCAACTTCACCGTATTAACCCAGGAGCAAAGGAAACAGCAAGTCAGTCAGTCCTTGGACTACAACAGGTTTATTTTGTTTAATGAAGTTTGAGTCATTTTATGGCAGAACTGGGCTGCAGTTCCAGCTGAGCCCTTTTGAGCCTGCACATTCCTCTCTGCTGCACACCTCTGGGGTATGCAGCCAAAAATGTAAATTAATGAAGACAAAGAGATGTTCCTGGCATGGTTATTCTTCTCTTTTGTTAGGGCACAGAAGCATGGGCAGTATGGGGAGAAGCAGTGATGTTATCACTTCATTCATCACAGTAACAGTAGTATTTTTCTTGGGCAGCTCTATGGCAAGTGCCTGTTGACCACCTTAATATGTTCTTAGAATTTCCCTCAATAAAACCACCCCTTCCTGCAGGACTCTGGCATGCAATACTGTAAATTATCACATTACATTTTGGTTTTTTCTTCTAGACATACCCAAAACGTGACAGGTATTTTGATGGGAAAATAAGTCAAGAAACCATGGGTCAAAAGTGGAGAAGTGCACAACTGGCATATGACTGAGGCCTAAGCACACTTCTGTTTTAACTTTGCCATCCTTCTCTGTCTCATGTAATCATAAATAAGTGCTTTGCAATCTGTGGAATTTGTTTTTTACACATGACCACCATCTGGGCTGCTATTTTTCTGGCCTTTTGTACCTCTCTTTGTTGTTTGGGTTACTGATAGTTCTCTGGTGGTGTTTGATTTTAGTTTTCTCCCTTGATTCCTCAACAAGTTACACCTAGAAACTTTCCCTCTTTTTATCTTTGAGGTTTACACTTAGCTCTAGGAAACCTGTCTGAATTCTACAGTTGACTCCTGTTAATACACTGCATTTTGCTTTTAACAACTGTGAGTGTTTGTGTACAGGAGAAGATACTAGACAGAAGTAACTCTGATTATCACTCCATGGAAGCTCATGTTTAGGGCCCACTGCCCTTTGGAAAAGGATGCAGATTATTTGCACTGTTATTCCAGAATCTGTGTCTTGTCAGGGAGTCATCAGGCATCCTTTAGTTTTTCTCCCTCTTGTGTGACCTCAGTGTCTGGTTGAACAAGCCTTAATTGCAGCCTTCATCAAACCTGCTTTCTCTTTCAGCTGAGATTTCTTCCTGGTGCAGTGGTGCCTGAGGTGTGCTGGAGATAGGTCTGTCAGACTGGGTGTGTGTTAAATGCTTGCTGAAGTTGATGGAAACCACTCCAATGACTACTGGGGCCTGAGAACACCAAACCAAACAATAAACAGATATATTCCAGGCTCCCGCTTCCTTAACCCGTCTATTGTATTC